AGCAACGCAATCGTGGCGTGGCCCGAACTTGTTTTTGCCCGAGTCCTTGGCCGGAATTTCGGCCACGTTTGCAGGACATCTATGCGACGAGCATTGATTGTGTATCGTTTAATAAAAACATTTCTGTACGAGAAGGGCTTTGGCCCTCTGGAGGAGCAAGAGGAAATACGGAAATACAGTCTTCTCCTGTTTTTATTCCACTCATCTCACTCCGTTCTTCTTCTCCATGGTCGTCGTTTTACCTGCCTGCCTGCCTGCCTGCCCTTCCTGTCTGTCTGACTGCCTGCCTGCATGTCTGCCTTCTTGCTTGCCTGCCTGCATGCCTGTCTGTCTGGCTATCTATGTATCTACGTAACTATATGTCTGTCTGTCTGTCTGTCTGTCTGCCTGCCTGTCAGTCTGTCTGTCTGTCTGTCTGTCTGTCTGTCTGTCTGTCTCTCTGTCTCTCTGTCCGTCCGTCCGTCCGTCCGTCCGTCCGTCCGTCCGTCCGTCTGCCTGCCTGCCTGCCTGTCTGCCTGCCTGCCTGCCTGCCTGCCTGTCTGTTGTCCAAGTCGTCCCATATGGCTACGTATAGAGAGCTGCTCGAGGAAAGGCTCGCGTGGCTCTGGGGCGGGCAGTGGGCAGCCCTTTGGACTCCCACCTAGGCTTGCAGAACTGGCTTGAGGAGGAGCCGCGAGCAGACCGACAAGCAAAGAGCTTCCCGGGTCCACACCATCGCCGCTTCTGGAGAGGAAGGGCGAGCGGTGACGGCAGCCACCAGCGCGAAGGCCGCCCTGCGAACGCCGGAGACCTTGAGAAAGGTCCCTGATTGCTTCCCTGCGGACGCTGCCGCACCAGCCGCGCCGGGCGCCCGCTCGGACTCGGATGGGGAGTTTCTCGAGACGGTGTTGGAGGAGATCCGGCGCCTCCTCCGCAGTTCAGCTCGGCTCACTGCCCTGGGCTTGCCCGGAAAGAGGCTGGAGCACTTGGAGACAGCAGCGGCCAGCCAGGAGACTTTGCAGCTCCTCTCCGAGGCGGTGTCCTGGGTCACTCACGGATTTCTTCTAGGTGGGACGCTGCAAGCTCTGCGGGTCGGCGAGGCTTTCGCCTTAAAGGGTGCGGGCGAGGTTTGGACTGTGCTGGTGGTCCCTGCCTGGCGGCGGCCTGTCCTTTTGGCGTTTTGGTCCGGGTCCGCAAGGAGCAACTGGTCGCCGCTGCTGGCGAATACTAGTACGTCGTTGGGGGAAAGAGGGGCGCGGATCTCTTACTGCGGTGCTTCGAGGCACAGGCCGAGGCCCGACGCGCGGCCGTCTTCCTGAAACTCGATGTGAAGGGGGCTTTACCAAAGGGTGAGGCGCCAACCTGCCACCACAGCGTTGGCGAGACACGACCCTGCAGTGGCCGTCGCCATGGCCACCTTGTACGGGTGCCCAGTGGACACCACTACTGGATGGACGTTGGCGGCGCACTCAACAAAGTGCAAAGCAGCAGAGGCTGTGACCAAAGGCGCCCTCTCTCTTCTGCTGGCTTCTCGGTGGCGCAACGCGAGGCTTTCGCCGACCTCTGGGTGCAATTTCAGAGGCTAGATCCTGCTGCCCGGCTTTACTCTTACCTCGACGACACTTGCCTGGCGGCCGAGGCCTGCCTCTCATCGGTCGCCCTCGATGGCTTACGGCACAGGGTCTTGCGGCTTGGAGCTCAACCGCGCGAAGACGGCAATATGATCCCCGTGCGGGTTCGCGGTCGTGCCGCCTGCGCTGCAGCCTCGCTGCGTGGCCGTTGTCCCTTCGCTTAGCAAGTGGCAAGCACCTCGGGCCGCGGGAGGGCTCGGAGTACAACCCCGCTGCGCAGCCCTCGGGGCGCGCGCCGACAGCCTCGGCCAAGCGACCTTGCGGCTGTAGAAGCTCTGGGCCGCGCTTCACTGGCTCCTCCAGGCGGACTTCGGGTTTGGCGAAGCAAGCCGCTTCGAACCTACACTGGCGCCGCCAGTCAGCGCACCTTGCGGCGGGAGCTGGCAAGCGAGGAGGCCACCCAGCGCTACGACGCCCTGCTGGCGCGCGGCTGGGAGACGCTTCTGTGGCGCGGCTTGGGCGACGACGCTAAGGAGTTCCTGGGCCTGCCCGCGTGCCTTGGCGGCCTCGGGGCGCAGCCTGCGCGCGGCGGAGCGCTGCCTCCCTCGGTTCCTGATCTGGCGCGGGCGAGGAGGTAGTCAGGGGCCTGGGCTGCAGCTGCGCGACGCCCTGGAGCGCCTGCCCGCCGCCGCGCGCAAGCTGGAGGAAGCGAGGCAGGGCCTGGCTCGGCAGGGGCTGCTGTTGGCGGACGGCGGCGCATCGGCTGACAGCCGTGCGCGCGAGCCCAAGCAGGGCTTGGATCTGCAGAAGGTGCAAAAGACACACCGCGCTGCGCTCCTACACCGTTTGCATTGGCCGCGGCGGCGCTGAGGCTCCGGCGGCTGGGGCGCCTGAGGTGACGGGGCTCTGCGCGGCGGGCGGCCGCGTCGGGCGCCGCCGCGAGCTGGCGCGGCGCGGCCGACGCCTCGGGCGACCGGCGCCTGCGCTGGCCAAGGGTTGGAGGGCGGCGCGCAGCTGGCGCCGCGCCGCTGGGGCGTCGGCGGGCAATGTTCGCCCCCTGGGGAAAGTTTTCGTGCGGACCTTCTCCCGGGGATGGGTGCCAGCAGCAGCGCAACCTGGTTGCTTGCGCGGGTTTGCTTTTCGCATTGCTGAGCTCTTGTAGTGTGGACAGACTGCTTCCGCGAATCTGTCTGTGTGTGTGCGTGTGTGAGTGAGTGTGTGTGTGTGTGTGTACGTGTGATTGCCTGCTTGCCTGCCTGCCTGCCTGCGTGCTTGCCTGCCTGCTTGCCGGTTGCCTGCCTGCGTCTGTCTGGGCTGCTTCTATGTTAATCTACACATTCGTTTGTCTATTTATATGTTTGTCTGCGCGTCTGTGTGTTTGTCTGTCTGTTTGTTTTTGTGTGTGTGTATCTGGCTGTTTGGCTGTCTGGCTGTCCGCCCGCCCGCCCGCCCGCCCGCCCGCCCCCCTTTTCCGCTTGTTCGTCAGTCAGTCAGTCGGTCAGTCAGTCAGTCAGTTTGTCTATCAGTGAATCACCAGTCTGTCTGTCTGTCTGCCAGTCTGTCCGTCCATCTGTCCGTCCGTTTGTCTGTCTGTCTGTCTGTCTATCTGTCTGTCTGTCTGTTTGTCTGTCAATCTGTCTGTCTGTCTGTCTGTCTGTCTGTCTGTCCGTCTGTCTGTCTGTCTGTCTGTCTGTCTCTCTCTCTCTCTTTCCTCTTTCTCTTTCTCTTTTCTTTTCTCTTTCTTTTTCAATATCCGTTTCCCTGTCTCTATATATTTGTTTTCTGTTACGCTTGTTCTTTTTATGTATCTCTCTCTCTCTCGCGCCGTTCGTCCGTCAGTTTTCTCCTTCTCAGTATTTTGTGTCCTCTCGGTTTGAAGCGCGTGCTCGCAGTTCAGAGAGAGCTTTTTTTGTCCGTTTGTAAGGTCATGATGGGGGCCTTGCGAGCCGCGGCGAAGTCGTGGGAACGCCACCTCTCAGGCTGAGCGTCTTTGCGGGCTCCGAGATGCTCGGCATGAGCTAGTTGCGAGTGTTGAAACCTCGGGTTTTCTCTCAGAGGCAAGTTGGCAGAATTTTGGCCAACTCCGCGCACACCCAGGTGCTTGGTGCCTCAGCGGGTTCAGGTATTACCGCCGCGTCACAGGTGGAGTCCGTGGAGTAATGGGGGCCCTGAGCCTCCCCTAGGCAATTTGGTCCCGTCGGGGTTGTGTGGGGGTACACTTGTTTCCCCCTCGTCGCGTCGACAAGTGCTACTTCACCAACTTGCCGAGTTGCGCGGCGTCCTGCACTGTCAGGTTTGTGGGGGATTTGGTCCCCCCCCTCCCCCCTCCCCGCCGCATTCTGACAGTAGAGTGCAGAAAGCCGTCGAGGGGTCCACGCCCCTCTAAGGCGGGAAAGCAGGTTCTCTCTCTCGGTTCCTGCGGTGCTTGCCCCCGCCGTCGGGCAGGACATTCCCCGACTTGGGCTGACTGTTAGTGGAGCGGTCTGCCTAAAACAGGACCCCCGCACTGAACTACTTTTCCCTCCCCCTTCTACCTCCTCCATCTTGAAGGCATCTTGAAATGTTAAGTGGGGCCTCTTTGAGGCCTCTTGGGGGGCATGTTGGCGCCCTCTTCAAGGCCCTTGGAGGCCTGTTGGGGGTGGTTGAAGGCTCGTCGGGGGCCTCAGGGCCGTCTTTGGGGTGATGTCTCCGCAGAGCTTTCCCGACAGTGCTCCCGTGGACCATGTTGGGTACACCTGAGCGGGTCTGCCCCGTCCTGGAGTCCTCTCGGGCTTGCCCTGGTGGATTTTCGGGTACGCTCGGGTGCGTCTTGTGGCGCCCCCGAAGCGGCCTTGGGCCGCTTCGGGGGCTTCTCGGAGCTCTCTGAAGCTTTCCTGAGGCGATCTGAAGCTGAAAAGCATCGGCAGTAACACACGTGGAGTGCCCCAACGTTTTCAATGTTTGTCGCATCTTGGGGCCTCGCTGGAGGATTCTCAGGGTGTCTCTTGGCGATTTCTGAGGGCCTCTTCGGGGCCATCGGGCCATCTTGAAGGATCTTGAAGCCTTGGGGGTCCCATTGGGTCGCCCTTGCATGCTTTGGAGCGTTTTGTAGCTGTGTACGGGCGGTCTGAGGCCGTTTTGGAGCTGCCGAGAGGCCGGAGAGGGCGCCGGGAAGCACAGCTTTGGTGGGCGATTTCCAGATCATGGCCTCTACGAAGGTGGCTCTGACAACAAGCATTTTAGCACGCTACAGCATGCAACATGCAACGTGCTGTTTCTTTTCATGTGCTGGAGGGTCTTTGTCTCTCTCTCTCTCTCTTTCTCTTTCTCTTTCTCTCTTTCTCTTTCTTTCTCCTTTTCTCTTTCTCTCCACATCTTTTCTGTGGGTGTCTCTCTCTCTCTCTCTCCATTTCTCTCTCTTCACGCCTGCCCTCGTCCATCCCTTCCTTCCCTCTTGCCCTCGACAATCAGGACCAGGACACCAAGAAGAAGAAAAAGAGCGCCAAGTGAGCGGCTCTCTGAGTGTTCCCCTCTCCCTCTGTTCCTCTTCCTCTCTCCCTCTCCCTCTCCTTCCCCTCTCTCTCCGTCTCCCCCTGCCCCACTCTCCTCTTCCTCCCTCCGTCTTCTCCTCCTCGCTCCTTCCTCCCCACTCTTTCTCCTCCTCGTCGTTTTCTCGTCCGCTTTATCCTGATGGCTAAGAGAGGCCTCTCGGAGATGCTCAAAGTGCGACTGCGTGCAAACACCCTCCAAACTCCACACTTCGAAACTCCTCCCTCTCCCTACCCTTGCCCCTTCCTCCCCTCCGTCCTTTTCCTCCGCACTTCCTCCCCTTCCGTCTCAGACAGAGCGTCCCGCTGGCGCGCGGATGGCGAGAAATGCGGCAGGCACAGATAAGGGAAACCGCAGACACGCGAATCAGGGAGAGGAGGGGGAGCGATGATGATGGTGATGCTGCTGCTATTGATGTTGATGGTGATTTCATGGCACTCATCGTGGTGCTGCTGCCGCTGCTGCTGCAGATGATGACGATGATGATGATGTTGATGATGATGCTGATGATGCTGATGATGAAGCTGATGAAGCTGATGATGACGATGGTGATGATGATGACGGTGATCATGCTGATGATGAGTTCGATGATTATGCTTTGGATGATGCTGCTGCACATGAAGAGTACTATATTGATTTATGATTCTGATGGTGGCGGTGGTGATGAGGAGGAGGACGATGATGATGATACTAATGATGATGGTGGTGACGGTGATGATGACGCTGACGATGCCGTTGCTGATGTTACGCTTATGATTGTGGTGATGATGTTGATGCTCATGCTGATGCTACTGATGATGATTCTGGTGCTGCTGGTGGTGCTGATGATGATGGTGGTGATGATGTTGGTGATGGTGATTGTGACGATGATGTTGATGTTGTTGATGATGCTGATGATGATGCGGATGACGAGGAATCTGTTGATGATGAAGCTGATGATGCTGATGCTGATGCTGATGATGATGCTGATCATGATGATGATGGTGATGATGACGATGACGCTGCTGCTGATGATGATGATGACGATGACGATGATGATGATGATGATGATGATGCTGATGGTTGTGGTGGTGAAGATGCTGATGATGATGACGACGCTGATGATGATGCGGACGATGATGATGCTGATCATGATGATGATGATGCTGATGTTGATGCTGACGATGATGATGATGATGATGACGATGCTGATGATGATGATGCTGATGATGCTGATGTCGATGATGCTAATGATGATGGTGATGATGACGATGATGCTGATGCTGATGATGATGCTGATATGATGATGTCGCTGATGATGATTATGATGCTGATGCTGATGCCAATGATGATGACGATGATGATGACGATGGCGATGACGATGATGAGGCTAAGGATGCTGATGATGCTGATGTTTATCATGCTGCTGATGATGGTGATGCTGATCATTAGGAGAATGATGATGCTGCTGCTGCTGATGATGATGATGATGATGATGATGATCATGCGGATGACGATGACGATGACGACGATGATGCTCATGATGATGATGACGATGACGATGACGATGATGCTAATGCTGATGATGATGGTGCTGATGATATTGCTGATGAGCATGATGATGCTGATAATGATGATGATGCTGATGATGATGATGATGATGATGATGATGTTGTGAATTTTTGATGATGCTGATGGTGATGTTGTTGCTGTTGATGATGATGCTGATGATGCTGATGCTGATGATGATTCTGATGATGCATGATAACGATGACGATGATGATGACGATACCGATGACTATAATTTTGAGGATGATGAGGATGATGATGATGCTGATGATGATGATGATGATGATGATGATGATGATGATGATGATGCTGCTGATGCTGCTGCTGCTGATGATGCTGCTGACGATGCTGATGATGATGATGATGATGCGGATGATGATGACGCTGATGATGACGATGATGATGATGGTGATGCTGATGCTGGTACTGATGCGGATGCCGATGATGGCACATCTGCTCGTCTCGTGCCAGCGAATACGTGAGTCATCCAAGAGAAGAGAAGGAACGGCCGCATCGAGACAAGGTTTCTTGTCATGGCGTTTCGAACAGTTTTGGCTGTTGCGTTCCCCTGCGTTTCTCCAGGCCCCACTTTGAAAAGGAACCGCCCCCATCGATGAAGCCGCTTCAAACTGTTCAAACGAATACTCGCGGCGCTAATGCGAGAGCACCGTTTGAAAACGGCCCGCCCTCTATCCTTGATTTTGTTGAAATTTTGCAATGCGAATGTGCGCGATGCCAAGCCGAGAGCCCCATTTTGAAAAGGACCGTCTTCCATCGTTGGCAGTTGCGACCAGGAGAGGTTGTTTATAAGGAAGAGGGGTGGGTGGAGGAGTAGGAGTATCAGTAGGAGGAGGAGGCAGAGGAGGAGGCAGAGGAGGAGGAGGAGGAGAACGAGGAGGAGGAGGAGAAGGAGGATAAGTGGGGGCCCAAGGCTCATCAATGATGTGGGAATACATCCTTCCTCCAAGCTCTCTCTGTTCATAGGCCCCTACAAGGGTTCAGTTCCACTGAAGGAACTGCTTCGTTTGGAGACAACCTTCCGCAGACCCTGAAGAGTGCCAAAACACCATTCTCGGGACTCCACGGCTACGAATTAACATGATTGTTGCGTCTTGACGATCTGGAAACGTGCCAGAACACCATTCCTGGGACTTCAACATCGCAAACCAACGTGACTCCAGCACCCTGACAGTCCTGAGATTTTCTACAACACCATTTCTGGCACGTTGACTGCTGGAATCCGTGAAACCTTTGCCAATCGTTAAGACGTGTGTGCGCGGCGCTAATGCGAGAGCCATATTTCGAAAAGGAACCGCCCTCAATCTGTGAAGTTCTATCGTTCTTGGTCTTTAGAACAATGCGTGCGGCGCCAAGGCGAAAACCACATTTTGAAAAGGAGCCACCCTCAATCCGTGACGCTCTTGCAATTTTTAAGACGCATGTGCGCGGCGCTAAGGCCATAGCCACATTTTGAAAACGACCCGCCCTCAAGCCGTGACGCTCTTGCATTTGTTTTCAACTAACGTACGCGGCGCTATCGCGATATCCGCATTTTGAAAACGGACCGCCCTGAAACCGTAAAACGAATGTGCGCGGCGCTGAGGCGAGAGCCACATGTTGGAAGCGGCCTGTTTTTCATTTGTGAGAGTGTTGTCAGTTTCTGAGCTTTACTGTCATTAATGGTGAGGAGGTTTCAGGCGAACTGCCCGGCCCGTCCTTCCGACCGGCCTCGGGGTGCGACAGGGAGGAGTCATGTGTAAGGAAGTGGAGGAGGACGAAGAGGGAGGAGGGCTGCGCCTGTCTAGGCACCAAAGCCCGCAGCTTCGAGGAGGAGGAGGGGGAAGAGGAGGAGGAGGATGAGGAAGAGGAGGGTGGAGGAGGAGAGGGAGTAGGAGTAGGAGTAGGCGTAGGAGTAGTAGTAGTAGTAGGAGGAGGAGGAGGGGGAGGAGGAGGAGGAGGAGTAGGAGGAGGAGGAGTAACACTAATACTAGTTAGCATATGCACAATCATAACCATCATAATAATGCTAGTGGGAGTAATAATAATCAGAGAAATAATAATGATAATCGTATTACCACCAATAATGAGAAAGGCAGTAGAAGCACAACGAACATCTTAAAGTTGATAATGATAATCTTAGGAGGGCTATTCGTAGGGGCAATATTCCGAATGCCAAGCATAATGATGCGAATCATACTTCAGACAAGGAGAAATAAGGCACACCATATTAATGACAACGAAGCAAACGACTTAACTAACACTATAGTGCTATTATTCATAGCATTAATGTTTCGAGTAGTACGAATACTAACACTGCTAGCACTAATGGTGATACTACTAAGAACAATTCGAAAACGAATACGATTGCTAATACTGCTATTCCTGATATAAGTGAAACCATTCTTCACATTACGGTTATTATTCATACTGCTGTAATAATTACAATTCCACATGCTCATACTAGTAACATTGATAGTGCTACTGCGTACAGTAGTTCTACGAACGCTAATGTGAATACGAACAATATCAATATTCTCAATACTCATATTTTGTAGGAGGAATGCTAGGAATAAAATGTGTACTACGCGTAATAATAAGACGATTCATATTTTAACTTGTTATGCATAAAACTAATAATACAGCGGCACGACTAATAATAACCAGGAGAGGTGGATGAGGAGGAGGAGGAGGAGGAGCAGGAGCAGGAGCAGGAGGAGGAGGAGGAGGAGGAGGAACAGGAGCAGGATGAGGAGGAGGAGGCGGAGGAGGCGGAGGAGGCGGAGGAGGAGGAGGAGGAGGAGGGATGGATGGATGGAGGGAGGGAGGAGGAGGAGGGAGAAGGGAGGAGGCCCTCCCTCCCGGGGACGACGGTCACGACGCCGTCCTCACTCTTGCTGCCACCGCCACCCTCCGCAGGCGCCGCGGCCAGGGCTCTCGCGGGGGGGGGGGGGGGGGGGCGGCCACGGCGCGCGGCGGCGCGGCGGCGCGCGCAGTGGCGCGCCGCGGCCATGGTGAGCCAGGGCATAGGCCCCGGGGGGGAGGTGAACGACGCAAAAGAGCGGGATCGATTGCGCTGACATTCGTGTGTAAGTTGCCTGCGTAAGCTCGCGCGTAAGCGCTCTCGTCTACAATGTGGCGTGCAGCGCTGGTGGCCCGCGTAAGCCACCGCGTAAGGTCGCTATGCCTTCTCGCTTAAGACTCTTTTCTTTTCGTCGCTCAAGTGTTTGGAGGCTCGAGGCTCGAGGCTCGAGTCCTTCGGCGATGAGGCTTTCGAGGCTCGAGGCTCGAGGCGGTTCCCTTGGGCGCCTTTTTTAGGGGCGTCCTCGTCGCCAACCTCGTTCTCCCACCCCCCAATCCTCCGTGGCCGCCGTGGCGCGGCAGTGCAACCCCCTGGGGCCCGTGGATACCAGGCGGTGGAGGTGAAATCGCCGGTTACCCACGCGCAAGGTCATCGAACGCGGAGATCCCCAGGCGTCCATCCCATTTCCTGGCATGTTCTACTGTGAGCGTCTGGCAGTGTTTCGCCGTGAGTGCCTGGGTGTGAGAGCGAGTCCGAATGGACGACGAGCACGACGACGACGGCGGCGGCCGCGATGACGACAACTCGAAGACAGACAGGCGGCGAGCAGGCCCCCTCCCCTCTCCTTCCTCTTTGCTGCCCGCGGTACCTCTTCCGGCCTCCTCCCTTCTCCCTCTTCTTGCGTTCTCATTCTCCTTACCCACGTTCTGGGTGTGGACGGGCCCGCAAAGTACCCGCTGGCGGATCCTCCTTAGGGTGCTGAAGCCAGCACCCCGCTCGAGACATCCTCAGAAGTTTAATGTGAGGCGAGCATGCGTGTGGGTGGTCTGTGTGGGTCAGTCTGAGTGTGAGCGAGTCTGAGTGTGAGCGACTCTGGGCGTGTATGAGTCTGAGTGCGAGGGGTGAGTCTGAGAGTCAGAGTGTGAGTTTTTTGGCCTATGAGTACATGAGAGCATGAATCTATCTGAGTAGGAGAGAGCCTGAGTGTCGAGTCTGAGTCTGAGTGAGTCTGAGTGTGATCCTGCGCGTGTGTGAGTCGGAGTGCGAGCGAGTCTGAGTGTGATTGAGTCTGAGTGTGAGTGAGGAGGGGGAGGGAGGATGACGGATAGGAGGCTGATGCGTCACACTGAAAACAATAACCCCATGCTTGGTATATGGGGAATAAATAGTTCCACCAGCGAGGGGGGCTGTTCTGGGGATGGAGGGCGAGGGGGGGGGGGGAAAGATCTGCTTCTGTACGTAAGTGGAGGGAAGAGGACGAGCATCAACAGGCGGTTACAGTGCGCCGTCCTGCGGTTTGTTCGTCTCGTGGACGGGCTGGCTTTACCTTTCGGCCCTTGCAGGCCGTTTTTTGCCTTTCGGGGTGCTCTCGGCGCGAGGCCTGGCGGTCCTCGTGCTCACGCCGCCTCCCGTGGGAGGGGTGACGAGACGAACGAAAAGGCAGAGACGGGGGACGGGAATTGCCCTGAGGACGGAGACGGGGAGGAGATGAGGACAGGAGGGCGGAGGGAGGGAGCCTCCTACGTGTGGGTGGCCAAGCATGGGGATGAAAGGGGCAGCCCTAATAGCGGACGTCCCCCCCCCCCCCCCCAGGACAGCGGGTTCCTGTCTTGGGGAGGGGGTGTGCTCGCGGCAGTGGCCGCCCCTTGCTTGCGCGAGAAAGGACGCTCACGCTTTACGCCTCGGATGTCTTCCTGTCTGTTGGAAGTCCACATGTGCTCCGCAGCGGTGTCCCGCTCCTCTGGGGGAATATGCTGTTGAAGCACTGCGTGTCCCTGAGGAACTGGTGGCGTGTGCCGATGCCGCCCCACTTGTCGGTTCGCATGGGGTTCTCCCATTCTGTGGAAGGCCTCTCCACGCAGCGGGCGCTTCTGCGACGAGCTCTGGTCTTTGCTCCAGCCTCCCAGCACTCCCGTGACATACTCGACTGGGGTGCTGCCATGCACGGAACTGTGAATGATTGTGAACTTGTTGTGCGGATTCATCTCGGGCTCGAGGTTGGATGCGTTGATGATCGAGGCAACGTAGACCTGACTGACAGCATTCATGTGAGAGACGGCATTCTCGCTCCTGGAGACGCTCCTGTAGAGACGCAGTTGGGCACCCATGTGGTACACGCACTGGCTCTTGGTCCGTTGGTTCGCGTCTGGCGCCATCGTGTTGCTGTGCAGTTGCTGTTCTTCTCCCCGTCTTCGGGCGAGCTGCGCCGGGCCATGGCGGGCGCCGCGCTTGGCCTGTTTCCCGTTGCCCGTTGCGGGACCTTCCGCCCCTGTGTCGAGTGCCGGGCGGTGGGTGGTCTGCGCCCGCGAGTCGGGCAACGGCTCCTCGTCGTCGTCCTCGTCGTCGTCGTCCTCCTTCTCCTCCTGCTCCTTCTCCTCATCCTGCCTCTTCCTCCTCCTGCCTTCTTCTCATCGGTCCCTGATGTACATATTCAGTCCGCCGATCCCGAAAGGCTTACCGCGAGTTTGGGCCCCCTGAAGCCTAGAGGAGGTCAATTTGGGAACATCTCCCTGGGTTTGGGCGCCCACTCGTTTATAGCGAATTCCATACGTCCTCCTCCCCCCCCTCTCTCCTCCTCCACCCTCCCTCGCCTGGGGCTTTGGGTCGCAGGCGGCCATGAGGGGTACTCTGGCACCCCCATGTGGAAGATCGCGGAGCAGAACAGGCAGCAGCGCGAGGCGAGCGCGCCTGTGGGAAGGGGAGGCGGCGTTCGGAGGTTGTCGGAGGTTCTGAGATTTCTTCGTGAGGTCGTCGGATGGTTGTGATGGAGAATCAGGACGGCGGGGGATGATGATGACGAGTGTAGGGCTACAATGGCGGTGACTCTGATGATGGCGAGGATGATGATGCTACTGCTGATAATGATGACGATGTGGATGGTGACGACAACGACGATGATGCGATTGTTAATGTCCATAATGACGATGCTGACGACGATGATGACGATGGTGATGCTGATGCTGATGATGTTGATGCGGATGATGACGCTGATGATGCTGATGATACTGATGATACTGATAGTGATGCTGATGATGCCGTTTTTGATGATGACAATGATCATGCTTCTAATAATGATGCTGCTCATGATGACGACGATGACGATGACGATGGCGATGACGATGACGATGCTGATGATGTGGATGATGACGATGATGACGCTGATGTTGTTGATGCTGAAGCTGATGCTGATGCTGATGATGACGATGGTGCTGATGGTGCTGATGATGTTGATGATGACGCTGATAATGCTGATGCTGCTGATAATGATGATGATGATGATGATGCTGATGATGATGATGATGATGATGATTGTGGTGGTGGTGATGCTGATGTTGCTGATGATGATGAGGCTGATACTGACGATAGCAATGATGCTGATTATGATGATGATGATGATGATGGTGATGATGATGATGACGATGATGATGATGATGGTGATGATGATGATCCTGATGCTCATGATGATGACGACGGCGACGCCGCTGCCGATGGCGATGACGATACCGATGATGCTGATGCTGATTATGATGTGCTGATGTTGATGATGCTGATGGTGACGATGCTGCTGCTGATGATTCTGGTGATGGTGATGGTGATGATAGTGACGCTGCTGCTGCTATTGCTGGTGATGCTGATGATGGTGTTGCTGCTGATGCTGCTGCTGATGATGCTGATGATGCTGGTGATGACGCTGACGATGATTGTACGGACCATTCTGATGAGGATTGATGATGGTGGTGGTGATGATGATGATGATGATGATGAAGATGATGATGATGATAATGATGATGACGCTGCGGATGATGATGGCGATACTGCGAATGATGATGCTGCTGATTGTGACGACGATGTTGCTGATGCTGATGCCGATGACGACGACGCTGATGCTGCGGGTGACGATGATGATGATGATGATGATGATGATGATGATGATGCTGATAATGATGGTGATCATGATGCTGATGCTGATGATGCTGATGCTGATGATTATGATGACGGTGATGCTGTCGATGCTGATTATGCTGCTGATGATGAGGATGATGGTGGTGATGATGATGATGCTGTTGCTGATGATGGTGCTGATGTTGGTGATTCTGATGCTGATGATATTGCTTGTGATGGTGATGCTGATGATGTTGATGATGACGACGTTGATGATGATGATGCTGATGATGATGATGATGTTGCCGATGAGACTATTGATGACGACTATTAGTTATTCTTGTCATTGTCATCTCTGTTGTCATTCTTAGGATTGTTGTTATTCTTGTCACATTATTATGGGGTATTATCAGTCTCATCTCTATCGTCCTCATTCGTATTCTTGGTAATAATCTGGTAATTTTTGAATGCGTATGCTAAGTATTGTCCATCTTAACATTTCTTTCCATGTATGTATATTCAGTATTGCGATTATTGTTTTTATCAGTGTTTTAATTTGTATTGTATACAACGGGTTGCTTATTGGTTTCTTGATGATTGTCATTACTGTTCGTATGATTATGCGGAATCATTTGAACTATTGTCATTGTCATTTCTATTCTCACCATTCCAGCGATGATGCTGCTGCTGCTGATGATGGTGATGGTGATGATGATGATGATTATGGAGAGGGGGAGGGTAAGGAAGATGACGGCGACGACGACGAACGACGATGGAGATGGGGATGCTGCTGCTGATGCCGATGCTGATGATGGTGATGGTAAGGCTGGCGATGCATTTGATTGTGATTGTGGTGGTGATTGCTGTGGCTGTGATGATGTTGATATTGATGATGATGTTGGTGAATTATGGTGTCTGGTGGGATGGAAGATGGAAAAGGGAGATGGAGGTGGAGGAGGAGGAGGAGGAGGTGGCCGAGGCGGAGGCGGAGGCGGAGGCGGAGGAGGTGGAGGAGGAGGAGGATACGACGCTGCAGGGGAAATGTCGCGCAGTGCGCCTGACAATCACCTGAAACTGAACGCCCACAGTGCGAACCTCCGTCGCATCAGAGATCAAAGGCCGCCTCAGGCCCACCAAGTGGATCATGGCCCGAGGCCCGAGCGAAACAGTACAAGGCTATCGGCGATAGCAGAATCTGGAATATGGATGGCGGTGCGCAGAGGAAGTGAAGGCTGCGGGGCGCTCTCGCGCCTTGACACGCCGCCGTGAGATTAACAATCGGGGAGCCCGATGTCTGAGCTGTATCCTGCCTGCCCAAGCCGGAGCCAGTGCGTTCCAGGAGGGGAGGCCGGGAGGCCTGCAAAGGGCCCGGGGAAGGGGCCGCCCTTCGTCGGCGGGGTGCCGACCCCCGAGGAACGGTTTCCTGTTCCGGACTGCACGAGCCGACATCCCGACTGAATTCTAGACGCTTGGCGTATCCCCACCAGCATTCCTCATTCCTCAGCTTAAATTGATCAAGGAGGTCGCACGGTGACTGCTCGTCAATGTGGGTCACTGATACGCCTAGCGCGCAGCTCTGCCTCCTTTCCAAGTCCGTTCTGGCCTTGGTAGAGCTGTCCCAGACGGTCTCGGTGGCTGCCATGCACTCGGTCCAAGCCAGCCTCTCAAGGTTATGCCCCCTCTGCCGCATGTCCTGCTCCCAGTGCCTCGGGAGGTTCACACCCTCGGCACCCAACTGAGGAATGCGCTCCCCGCCCAGACCGGGAAAATTCTGTTACACCTGCATTGGCCCCAAGGGTTCAAGGTCCTCCTCAAAGTGCAGGACGCGGGACAGGATGCCCGCATGCTGCTCCTCAGCATCACCAGCCCAGCAGCGGACCAAGTGGTCACTGTCAAGCTCCACTGGCCACCCGACCTCGGAGGCACAGTCCCCTCAAGCGACTGCCAGGCGCTGGGGCTCAGGCAGGGTGCCAGGTACCCCAGCAACGAGTGCATTGTGGCATATGACGTGGAAAAGCTTGGGGAGTTCCACGCTGACGACAGGATCCCAAGACCAGCCAACGTGGAAGAAGCGTGGTACAAAATGGACAGGGCCCCATCCCTGCTCCAGTTCCGTCGGATCACCACCGCAATCACTGACATCTACAAACTGCAGCAGGCCCCTTGCGACCTGGTGGGGGCCCCCTTGGACGTCATCACCTACTTCCTCTTCCTCACCTTTCGCACGGCTGACACGAAGGACAAGACGTTGGCCAACAGCGTGAGTAACACCTCACACTGCGGACAAGCTCTACTCGCACGCGCCAGGTCCACCATTGAGGAGCGCTTCCCCGGCTCGGCCCAGACAGCAGCGGACAGCAGCACAGCGAAACCCAACACCCCCGCGAGGCCCCTGGCTACCATCCCCTTCTCGCACCCAGAAGTGGATACAGCTATCGGTCAAGTCTTCCAGCGTGCCAGGGAACTACCATCGCTCACGGCCCTCGAAGAAGGCGCCAGGCGTCACGGCCTCAAACGCGACGCCGCGAAGGCCCTCACCGTATCCACATTGCACCACGTAGCAATCGTTCACGGGCACCCCGGCGCATGCAAAACGATCTCCTCCGTCGCTACCATGGACACCTGGGCTGACGCACTTCCGGTCGGACAGACAGCTGCCCTGACAGCAGGCTCCAACGCAGCCGCTGATCAGCCAGCGCTCGGTCTTATCAGCGCACAGCAGGCGAACAAGCTGGGCCCCCGGACAGGGTGCCCAACCAGATGCGTCCGCCTGGCCAAAGATTTCAGGGTGGCCAGGGCACTCGCTGCGCTCACCCCTGGAGGGCACTATTGCAGATCCTACGGCAGGGGTCCCATGCGAGAGCGGATCCTCCAAGGACTTTCCCGCCTTTCGGACCCAGCTACTCAAGGGCGCCAAGACAATCGCTGCCGGGCGTGAATCTTCGGAAACGCTAAGGAAAGCTGCCCCAGTAGCCTTACTCATCATAGGCGAGGCTAGGCAAGCCCATGAGCTAATGGCCGCCATGTCCCTCGACAGCGTCATCCGCTCGGGCGGGCGCCTGGTGCTGGTCGGCGACCCCAAGCAGCTCCCCCCCACAGTCATCTCTAGGAAGGCAGCAGACCAGGGGCTATGCCTCTCCATCTTCGACCGTCTCCACCACGCCCTGGGGGGTGACCAGTCTGCAGCGGTGCAGCTCAGCCTCTGTTACCGCATGCATCCCCTGCACCTGGCATGGCCGAACTTTGCCTACTACAACCATGCGATGCACGCTGG